ACATTCCCCGCGGTGCATTCTAAAATCGGGGCGGCTGATTTCTCTTGCAACTTGGCAGGCTGGGGGTGTCCAAGGTGGCCCGCTTGGGCCAGCTCGAGCATGCGAATTGACTGAGCAATTGCAGACAGACGGGCAGGCTGCCTTATCCTCGAACGAGCACGGGTCTCAGAAGAGGTCGAGGGTGTCTCAGAAGCCGCCGCGCGATCCACTCTCTGAGTCATCGACATGTCACCATCTAAGCTGCCAGATGCTTCTGAATCTCCTCTGGGGCCATTCCGAACTTCGCCAGTAGCCGTTCTGCGCCCCTCTCCAAGGCCCCCTCGGGAGCCGCTCCTGCTTTGATCTTGCCGCCCCCCTGACGAATGCGCACCTGCAACGCCGCGTGGGCCGTCATCGGCGGCATGCCATCGATCGCGACCACTTGGCTCTGAATGCATGGGCCCATCATGAACTGCAGTGCGTCGGTGTCCGCCTCCATCTTGCCAGCCTTCTTGTCGAACCAGCATGCCCGTGCGCAGCAGTAGCGCGCGTGCTCGGCCAGCAGGGAAAGGGTCACGGACTTGTCGCCCTTGACTGTCTGCGTCCAGTAATGCTCGAGAACAGCCAGCGCCTGACTCACCGCCGGCTCCTTGTTGCCCGCCAGGAGTAGCCAGAAAGTACGCTACCAGCGCCATGAAGATGCGGGGCCAAGGAGGCCCGCTGTCGCGCCCCCCCCCCCTGCTCTTTGCAGCCCGTCGCGTCGGGGGAGGAGGAGGAGGAGGAGGAGCGCACGCCACTGGAGGGACAGGGGGGGGAAAGGAAGTCCATGACAGAAAAAAACAGCTCCTCCCACGGGGGCCCATCAACGTGGACCTTTGTCAGTCACAGGCAGGGGGGCCGAAGACCCGCCCATGACCCCGACAAGACCCCCCTGGAGGACGCTCAACCATCTGAATCTTCAGCAAGACCCTGATATTCAGAGCGCTCACTGAACTCTCCAAGACGATGCGCCTCGAGCTCATTCAGCCCGAACGCTCGGAGACAGTCAGCCAGACATACGAATTCAACCGGGCCGCTCCGCGGCCCTTTCTTTCCGTCTCTCTTCTGGGCCCCTGCGACGTGCCCAAGACCCCCCACCCAAGCTCTCGCCGCCCCAGAAGGAGTCTTCCAGGGGCCCAGCATGAGAGGTCAGTTTGGATGCTTCCCTTTGATGACCGCTCGGCTGTTCTTCCTACGTGGGCCCGCAGGGGCGAGCTGGGGGCCTCGGCATTCACCGCGGAGCCCTCTGGAGCGCGCCGCCGCCACGGCATATCCGCCACAAGTTGTGCAAAAAAGGATGGGCGGGGCTTCGTCGCCCTCCACCTCGAACTCGAGCAAGACGCGGCCTCTCACCGACCGCGGCATTTTTTTCACTATCACTGGCCCCCGCGGCCAACTCGGGGCTGATTGGCCCTATCGGCTGCCTGCGCGGAGGGGAAGTATGGGCGGAGGCGGGGGGGGGTCAGCAGCAGCGGCAGCTTCCTCTCCCCTCCTCACCTCCTCCACAAATCCCCCCATTTCGGCATCGCCCTCAAGCGAAACAATCGTCAGCCCCTGGGTTCCTATGTTGTCGAAAACTCCTAGGTCCGCATAGTGGGCTCCCGCCCTGCTCATGCACCGACACAAGGAATGGGCAATCGAAGACATTCCTTTCGCCAAGCGGCCTACCGCGGGGCCTCTCCTGGCCAGCGTACCATCTACCTTCGCAAGGCGATATGCCTCTGTGTCCCCTTCGTGTGCAAAGAGAATAATCTTGTCCTCTCGCACATCAGACATACTTGAGTGCGCAGCTACTATCTTGAAATCGACTCCTGGCGGTCCTGGCGGGCTGCCTTCTTCGAAGGTCCGCCTCCAGACGCGCGCTCTAAAATTGGACTGTTTCGCCACGCGCGGGTTCCAGCTGTTCTGAAGGGTGCCTTTGCAGTCCGTGCAAACTGCGAAGCTGCTCACCAGGTTTCGGACGGCGATCTGCATGGCGAACTCCTCACCATCTCGCGCAGATTGGCCATGGCACTGAATAGAGGGGAACCACCCTGTACCAACCCGCCCGGTAGCGGAATTCCCAATCAAAAATAACCACTCCCCACCCAGCCACCCTGAAGCACGGAAAAACCCCATCAAAACCCGAGCCGTCACAGAAAACGCGCCCTTTTTGCAGCGCTAGCGGCGCCGCTAAACCCTCAACCTTGAACTCCCAGCTGGGACCCCAAGGTGGCCGAGAGAACGCTCGGCACGGGTTGGGTAGCATTCCTCGGGCGAACCGCCCCTGCAGCTCCACGGGGCGCGACGCCAGGCGGCTGACAGGCACAGGGAGTTCCCGAGGAAAAAAGATCGCCTCCAACCCTGTCGCGCAGGGCAGCGAAAATGGCGGCGGAAAGGCGCGCCAGGCTCTTCCCCACAAATCAGGAACTGACCCGGCAATATTGCATCGTGCTCGTGCATGCGGAACTGGACCCAGTGCGAGCCTATCACTAGGCCCCGAAGCACTCGCTGCCCCCTCACCCCCCAAGCCCCGCTGTCCACCGCCCCTTCGTCCTCGGGCGCGTGCCGCGCATGCAGCAGCTCATTGGGCAGTCTCCAAAACATATCTCCGCTCCATCCATTGCCGCAGCCTACCTTCGCCTGGCCACTCCGGCCGGCTAGGCGCCCGGCTGCAAACGTCGCCCTGCTGGCCGGGAAAGCTGGCGAGACCGCGCAGAGGCCCCAACGCCCCCCCGCGGGTTCCACCAGCGCCCTAAGGTCAAGCAGGAAAAAGCCTACGGTCGCGCAGGTGAGGAGAAGCGCTGCCACTGGGTTGTTCCTGCCCAGCGAGCACTGCACTGGACAGGCGCTGGCCCTGCAAGATCCGCGAGTAGGTGCGAAGGGCGTCGGGCGCGACCGGGATCAATGGATCCATGGCCCAGACGCCTCGCGAGCACATGGGGGCAAGGCCGAGCGAGCATGATCTCGAGGGGCGCCCTTCTGCCCGCAGCGCTGCAACACATCTTCTCCAGCTCGCCGCTCGGCAACCCTTGAATGTTAGCGCCCCACAACGCCTTAGAAGCGATGCCCGCTCTAGACATGCACCCGCGCGGGACCCCTGCACTACGGGGCGCCAACAGCTTGCCAACGTTGTGCTGCGCTTCACAAAAACGCTCGCGATGAGCGCTGGCTCTCCTCCGAGCCTCATTGGTGGCATCACCCCCTAGGCCCCTGTGGACCCGGTCTCAAGCCGCCCCGGGTAACTGGCAGCTCTGGAGCAAAAAAATTGCCAGCGTCAGCGACGACGCAAATAGCCCGAGCTTGTTCTGGGCCGCCGGCAAGCCCATCCGCCCAAAATACGGCGTTATGGAAGAGAAAGATCGCGCCAGCTCTCGCCCCATCACCTCCTCGCAGCCAATCGCGCAGAGCGAAACATCACCGATGACGTTATTGGCGCATGCTGTGGGGAAGCCCGCCGCCGCTCTGCGAAGAACTCCTATCAAGAGAATCATGGCGAGCGTTGTTGCACCAGGGCACCCTGCGATTACCGTGCCGCTAGGGTTTATGACCCCGCTGATCGCTCCTTGCCACGACACGCGGCGCGGCCCTCGACATGGGCAGCAATGCGCGCGGACGAGACTGATTGGGAAGTTGCTGGCTTCCGCTGCTCTCAGAGACTCCGCACCAGAAATGCAATCGTAAAACTTACGGAGATCAATAAACAGGACCCCTGCGCAGAGGCCCAGCACTTCTCGAGCATGAGCAGCCAGCGCATTGTGGACCCAAGCGCTCTCATCACAAGACCCATTGCAGCACTTCGTGGCCCCATAAGGAGCTCCACGCAAGGCCCCAGCGGGGGTGGCCACGTGCTTTCGCCGCACCTAATATAACGCTTCGCGGCCCCCTGCGGCCTCAGTGGGGATGGCCACGCGCGTCCGCCACACCCACTACAGCGCTTCGTGGGCCAGAGGGAGCTCCACCCAAGGCCCCGGCGGGGGTGGCCACATGCGCCCGCCGCACCCAGCACGCCGCTTCGTGGCCCCATAGGGAGCAACACGGAAAGACCCCAAGGGCACCGCCCGCATGCGCCGTCCACCACCCAGTACTGCACTTCGCGGCCCCATTGATCGGGGGCCCAACTAAGCCCCACTAGCACCGCCTGCACGCGTCGCCCCCCGCCCGGCACAGCGTTTCGCAGCCCCGCATGGGGGCGCCAATGGCCCGCCCGAGTGCGACCCCCGACCCATTGCAGCGCTTCGTGGCCCCATAGAGAGCTCCACCGAAAGCCCCAGCGGCACCGCCCGCGCGCGCCCCCCCCCCCCGTGGCCCCATAGGGAGCCCCGCCCAAGGTCCAAGTGGCACCGCCCGCGCGCGTCGGCCACCACCCAGCGCAGCGTTTCGTGGCCCCGTAGGGAGCTCCACGGAAAGACCCCATCAGCACCGCCCGCATGCGCTTCCGTTATCTTGCGCAGCGTTTCGTGGCGGGCGGGCGCCGAGTGTCCATGGGAAAACGCTATATCATCACTTTCCGACCGAAGGACTGCGCCCCCGGGGGTGACCTTCCGCCTTCCCGGCACTGCGCTAGCTTTCAACACGCGGACCGCGGCCACGGGACCGCGCAAGGGCAGGGGGGGGGGGGCAGTGGTCGGGGCCGGCGCCAGGGGAAGCCGCGGAGCGCACAGGCCCTCCAACGGTCGCCGTGGATTTGCCCCCTCCTATCGGGCGCGCCCCAGCCTGCCGCCACCCAGGCGGCGTCGCCGCCCGTCTTGCCTTGGAAAGCTCGCGGGGCCCCGCCCTGGAGAAGCTGGGGGGGCCGAGCAGAGGCGGCGCTTCCGCGAGGGCAGCTCTGCGCCGGCCCTCCGCGACACCGCGACTGATTCTGAAACTTTCGCGCGGGCGCATTTTAGACTCCCGCCTCTCGGCCGCGCGCGGCCTCCGCAGCGCGGCAGGGCGAGGCGCCGCCAGCGGGCCACTCGCGGCGGCCCGGCGCGCCGGCGGGGGCGGGCGGCAGCGCCTGCGGCCTCCAGCCCTAGCTTGCGCAGCGGGGCGGCCTGGAGGCGCTCCTTGGCGCCAGCGATGCTGACCATGTAGAACCCGATGGCAACGTCGTTTGCCACGAACGGCGTGGTGTTAGGCGCGGGTTCGCACGGCCACCACCGCGCGGCGGCTGCGCTGGCGCTTCGCGCGCCAGCCACGACGGCCGTCGCAGCGCACTCGGCAGCCCCGGTCGGCGCGCGGGGTCACGCCGCCCCGCGCAGGACTACGGCGGCGGCGCCCTGGTCGCCGGCGCGCGGTCGCGCAGCTAGGCAGAGCAGACGCGGCAGGTCTGCGTGGAAGTGCGCGGCCGCGGCCACAGCGCTAGCCCGCCTGGCGCGGAGCCAGCCCAGGGCGGTCTGCTTGTCGCCCACGTCGAAGGAGATGGCGCCGAGCAGCGCGGCGAGGGGGCCGGCGTCCACTGCCAGGCGAAGCGCGGCGCGCGCTCGGCGGCGGCGGTCGTCGCGCCCCCAGTCCCCCTGAACGGCTGAGACTGCCGTTGCCCAGGCATCGGCGCCAATGTGGAAGGACGCTGGAATGCGTGGCTCGGCCGCCCGGAGGTGGCAGCGCCGCGCGAGAGCCGCAGCCTCGGTTCGCCCGTCGGGCCCGTCGAGTCTAGAGAGGGAGACGGCGGGGTTGCTTTCCGACGCGACCCACTCGATCCAGACTTCCGCGCCGATGGCGCCAAGCAGGAGCCAGATGGCGCCGGCGATGGCCACGCCGTCGTCGCCGCAAGCTGCGCCGCCGCGGATGTTCCCCAGGGCGGGAGCGTCGTGTTCGAGCAGGACCAGCCGAGCGCCGCGCTCTGCCTCTGGGCACGTCAGCAGCAGGGCGAGCACAGCGAGCAGCTCGGACTGATCGCCAGCAGCTCCGCGCGGAGGCGCGGCGGGATGCGCGCGGAGAAACTGCGGCCACTGCTGGCGGGGGGCGCCAGCATGCCCCCGATGGCGCCTGTTCCGGCTTCCACGCCCCAGGACCCGTCGACCCATCCGATCGGGCGGCCCGCGCCGTGGACGCGCTCGCGGCACAGCGGGCACCGCAGCGGCGGCTGGACTAGCCGCCGGCGCGCGCCGACGCGGGCGAGGCGCAGGCGCGGCCGACGCGGCCGAACATCGCCGAGGTTGCGAATCCTGATTGTCCGCCCAGCCTGGACGCGTCGCGCTTGCTGATGCGCTGCGCTCGCAGGACGGCACCCACGGCGCTGGTCAACGCAGCGCGGCGCTCGGCGGCAAGGCGCAGGCCCGCCCAGCGCGGAGTGGAGGGGACGTCCAGGCCGAGCAGGTCCAGCACGGCCGCTGGGCCCCGGTTCTTGCCCTCCTTCAGCGGGATCCCGAGCATCGAGTGCAGCTCCTGGAATGCCCATTCGCGCAGGGCGGCCCACCTGGCAGGCGAGGCCTTGTGGAAGTCGCCCACGTAGGGTCTCTGCGGCGCGCTGAAGATGCGCTGGAGGGGACGGCCCACGCTGGCGGCGACTCGCGCGCAACCCCACGCGGCCCCGAAAGCGCCGAAAGGCAAGGCTTTGCGCGCGCAGGCCCTGATACCGCCCGCATGCCCGACGCTGTCGTTCCAGACGAGACAGACCAGCAGCGGCACGTCCTCGGGGCGCACTGGCCACCAGCGGCATGGTTGGGCGCGGCCCCCCATCGCGATGAGCGGGGCCCCTCGTCGCCCCAGTCGCGCAAGTTCTCGGCGACGAAGGGCGCGGCTTCGAGGAGCGAGGCCAGGCCGGCCACGCGCATGCCCCCCTGGGCAACCACGGCGAGGTCGAGGCCGCTCGCCGTCGCATCGTCGATGGGGCGCACTTTGCAGGAAGCGGCGGCGCGGCCGTGGACGCGGGGGAACGGGCCCGCCGGTGGCCACTGGGCGAAGGGCGCAGTAGAATTCACGCGCCCATCGGCGTTGATCCACACCTCCCACGGGCCAAACAGCTCGCCCGCTGCGCAGTCCTCGCGTGTAACACGGAGTCCTTCGGCCATGTCCGGTTCGCGTTTGGAGTTCTGGAGCATCTCTAGCAGCGCAGCGTAGCGTCCATATATCGAGCAAGTGCTCGAGTGCGCGGACCAACGAAGCAGCGGCGTCCTGTACGTCGGCAACGTCCGTATTCTCACAGAGCCGCGTGTCGGGTGGGACGCCCGTCACGCGAAAGCCCGCCATGTTGTCGGCGACGACTTCGGCGCCTTCGTGTCCTGATGCCAGCCAGGAGTAGCTTTCGGCGCAGCGGCCCGTTGTATCCCGGCGGCAGCATGTCGCGGACGTGCGAGGATAGGCCTGGTCGCCAAGCGCGCGTTGCGTCCGCGAGAGAATCCTGGACGCGCTTCCAATTGCGCACCTTCCCGACGACCCACTGCTCGCAGTCGGAGCAGTCGCGCGCCCAGAGCAGCGCGCTGCGGATTGGGGCTGCCAGGGGTGTGGTCGGGGTTTCCGCCCACGCGGCCGATGGCTGGCCGCTCGCTTGGCCCCACGCCTGGTCGATGTGCTGGACCGGCGCGACGGCGCGCTGCTGTTGAGTCGCGGTTTTGCTAAGCCCGAGGCGCGCGCCAACCTGGCGCGGCGGCGCTGCCGCGGCGTCCCCATACCAGGGAATGGCGTCCAGGTGGGCGGGCCCAGGGAGCCGCGCGCTGCAGGGCGGCGGGGCGTAGGGTGGCTTCTGGGCTTGCTCGACGCTCTCGAATTCCTGCTCGGCCGCCGGATCGCGGAGCCCGGCGGCGCATTCGACCATGGCGACGCCGCATCCGGCGGGGCCCATTTGGGGCGGGGCCCGGTCAGCGCCGCGCGGCAGAGCGGAGGCAAGCGCGCTGTCTGGGTTGCGCGTGGCTGACGTCAGCTTGGTGGGCGCGACCTCGCCGTGGCCTGGCGGGTGTGCCTGGGGCGGGGGGTGCGCGACCATGTCTCGCGCGGTTGGCCGCGATGTCGCGCTGGCGTTGGCTGGCGTGGCTGGTGCGGCAGGCGCTGCCGGCGTGGGCACGTGCGCCGCGGGCGTGCTCACCGCTTGGGCTGAGCCTGCTGCGTTGCCGGCTGCGGGCGGGCTGTGCGCGTGGGGAGTGCGAGAGGCGTGGCCAATGGCCGTGCTGGCGCCACGGTGGCGCGGTATCACGGGCGCCCGAAGCCCACATGGGCGCCCTCTCCAAGTCACCTCTGGCGCGCCCTGCAAGAAGAAGCGCGCTCGCGGTGCCTCCCGCCGAGCCGTCAGCCCCCCATGCCTTCGCCCAGCCCAGACCAAAGCCAAGGCAGATGAGAGTGAAGAAAGACCCTCGGTGCTGAGAACCGAACGACTGGGTAGCTGGGGCCAAACGCGCCCCTGCTGAAGGCCCAGAACCACAGGAAGATCTTGACGATCACCCCCTGATGTACCCGTCGATTGCCTCGCCTGCGCATTCAATCCACAAACGTTTGCAATGCTTCCGCCACCACCATTCCTCGAGGTTGCGGTTGCACCCGCAAGCCTCGCAGCGACAGGTCCTCGGCCTCGGCCTCGGACGCTGGCGATCGCGCCAAGGCCATGGCGCGCAGCACGTCGTGATGGACGCGGAGCGGGAGTCAAAAACTCGCGACAATTATGCCTCTTTCTGAGGTTCGCGGTTCGCTGCCGACACGCTCAAGCAATGCCTGAGCCATGAAGGCTGAAGGACGAGACGGGGGGGAGGAGGAATAGGGAAGGAAGAAGACAGGGGGAGCCAAAGGAACCCCGAGCCCCTCCCGAAACCGAAATAGCCATTCTTCCAAGATAAACCGTGATGAAATCGCGAAATAAGGTCGGACCAGACTGGACCGGAACGAACACCAAATCGGGCCTCGGCGGCACGGAATCGAGATCGGATCGGATCGGGCGCGCCAAAACGCACGGCAACGCCATGCATCGGGCCGCATCGTCTGATCTGAGAGAAACGGGTTCAAAAGTAACACCATTCTCGAGTAAGTAATTAACTACAACATTGATCCACCCATGAATACAAATTCTCGTCGACTCTACAACTAAACAAGATACCAGACAAGAACCCAATCCGAATCGGTTTAGGGCTATAGGGCTATAGGGCTATAAGGCTAGAAGGCTATAGAGGGCTATAAGCCTATAAGGCTATAGGGCTGTAAGGCTATAGGGCTATTAGGGCTATAGGGCTATAGGGCTATACGGATGTAGGGCTGTAGGGCTATAGGGCTAAGGGCTATAAGGCTACAGGGCTGTAGGGTTGTAGAGATATTAGGGCTATAGGGTATAAGGCTATAGGGCTATAGGGATATAGGGCTATAGGCCTATAGGGTCACAGGGCTGTAGGGCTATAGGGCTACAGGGCTAGAAAGCTATAGGACTATAGGGCTACAGAGCTATAGGGTTACCGGGCCAGGGCACCCGGGCACCTGGGCACCTCGGCACCTGGGCATCCAAACAACCGGGCACCCGGGCACCCGGACACCCGTGAACCCAGGCACCCGGGCGTGCCGCCGAAATCGGCGCCATACCTCATCTAACGATATGAATCCGTTAGGACCCCTACTGAGGTAATCTCTGATTGGGGAATCAACTGCTCCATAGATATACGGAACATGAGGCGTATTGTTTGTAGAATCGACGATAAAAAACTATTTGTGGGTTAAAGATATGCATCTGTCGGCCGATATCATGCTCGAGGTCTCCGACCACGGGTATACGAGCGCCGATGCAGAATTTAACCTCCCCAGAGTTGCAACCTGACGCTGGGGGAGGCGCGAGGCTGCAGGGCGTCGAGGGGTTGCAAGCCGGAGGCTCCTCAAGCAGTCGAAGTTCGAAGCACCGAGAAGTCGCGACGCTCGACGACGACGTTTCGTTGTTTGCCCGCCTACGGGATGAGCACGCCTCGGGGCCAGGGGGCGTCAGAAATCTATCCGGGGAGGGGGAACGGGGACCAGATGGCTCACGGGAGCGGGTTATGGTCGTCTAATGCTTCCACTTGGACGAGCGTCCCCCAGGGGGGGGGGGCGCTGCGGGCCTACGGGGTCGATGCAATCGAACTTCTTGTCGAGCTCGACGACCTTGCCCTGGAACACCTCCACCGGCGGACGCCTCCTCCTCCTCCTCCTCCTCCTCCTCCTCCTCCTCCTCCTCCACATCCTGCTCCTCATCCTCCTGCTCCTGCTCCTGCTCCTGCTCCTCCTCCATTCCTTGTCCCTATGAATAACTTTTCCCTGCCGCACACCGAGGCCAATGTTTGAGGCGGGCAAGGCGATTCGCCTGATAATGCCTTACCATCTATGACCCTGAAGCTTCAAAAATGGCAACGGCTTCACAAATGGAGGGTGGGTCGTTTTCAAACTGTGGATCTCGCCATAGCGCCGCGCACATTCGTTTTGAACATTTGCATTAGTTCCACGGATTGAGGGCGGCCCGTTTTCAAAATGTGGCTATCGCTTTAGCGCCGCGCACATTCGCTTTGAAAAGTTGCAGCAGCTTCACGGATTGACGGCGGCCCGGGTTCAAAATGGGGCTCTCGCCTCAGCGCCGCGCACATTCATTGTTAAAAATTGCAACAACTTCACATTGGAGCCGCGCACATTCGGTTCTTTTAATAATGCGCAAGGGTTTCACACATTCCCATGATCAGCGTACCAGAAACTATCAGTTGGAAGGGTTCAGGAATACGAGATCGCAAACGGTTGCGTTGATTCGCGGTGTTGAAGCTCCAAGGATGGCTTTCTGGCGCGATTCAGGACCGCCAAGACGCAACAGTCAGGTTGATGCGTGGCCCTGGAATTCCGAGAACAATGCTTTGGCAGGTTCCAGGGTCTTCACAAAATTGTCCCCGGAACGAGGCAGCTCCCTCAGTGGAGATGAACCAGTGTAGTGGGCGAATGAGGAGGGAGCTTGGAGGGGGGTTCTTCCAGCATCGTTGATGATTCTTGGGTTTACACTGGTCCTCCTCCTCCTCCTTTTCCTCCTCCTCCTCCTCCTCCTCCCCCTCCCCCTTCTCTTCTTCTTGTCGTTACAATTACGTTGCTGATTCATATTCTTATGATTCGTATGATTAATACTAGGAGTACCCATGTTTGTTGATAGCATTAGGAGTACCATGATTACTCATCTTACGATTAGCATTACTTTTAGCATTACCAACAGTATTCGTCGTAACATGAGTAGTAGCATTAGTCGGAGGTGAGGGGGTGAGATCGAAGTGGAACGGAGAGCCCCCCTACCGGGAAATCGATTTCGGTTTCGTGTTCGTGCGTGCCGTGCGTGCGGGCGAGGCGAAGCTGCGTGGGCGGGCGAGAGAAAGTCTCCTGTGGCTGAGGCGCGGCCGGACCAAATGATTCTCCACCGGGCGGCCGGTGGCGCGCGGTGTCCCGCCGGTGTCCCGCTGGTGTCCCGTCGGTGTCCCTGTGGCTGAGGCGCGGCCGGGCCAAATGTGTCTCTTCCGGGCGGCCGGTGGCGCGCGGTGTCCCGCCGGTGTCCCGCCGGTGTCCCGTCGGTGTACCGCCGGTGTCCCGATGATGATGTTGATGATGATTATGATGATGATGGTGATGATGATGATGATGATGATGTGATGATGATGATGATGATGATGTTGATGATGGCGATGATGATGATGATGATGATGATGATGATGATGATGATGATGATGTTGATGTTGATGATGATGATGATGATGATGATGATGATGACGTCGATTGCGAGATCGATTGTGATATCGATAGTGAGACCGAATGTGAGATCGATTGTGAGATCGATAGTGAGATCGATTGTGAGATCGATAGTCAGATCGATTATGAGATTATAATGGTGATGATGGTGATGATGGTGATGATGGTGATGGTGATGATGATGATGACGTTGATGATGTTGATGATGATGGTGTCCCGATGACAATGATGTTGATGATGATGTTGATGATGGTGATGATGATGATGTTGATGATGATGGTGTCCCGATGATGATGATGATGATGATGATGATGATGATGACGTTGATGATGATGATGTCGATGATGATGATGGTGTCCCGATGATGATGATGATGATGATTATGTTGATGATGATTACGATGATGGTGTCCCGATGATGATGATGATTATGATGATGACGATGTTGAGGATGATGATGAGATGATGATGATGATGATGATGATGATGATGGTGGTGTCCCGATGATGATGGTGTTGATGATGATGATGTTGGTGATGATTATGGTGTCCCGATGATGATGACTATGGTGGTGATGATGATGATTGGTGATGGTGATGATGATGGTGTCCAGAAGATGATAATGATGATGATGATGTTGATGATGACGATGTTGCTCGTCGAGATCGATAATGAGATCGAGTGTGAGATCGAGTGTGAGATCGACTGTGAAATCGATTGTGAGATCGATAGTGAGATCGATTGTGAGACCGAATGTGAGACCGAATGTGAGATCGACTGTGAGATCGATTGTGAGATCGATAGTGAGATCGACAGTGAGACCGAATGTGAGACCGAATGTGAGATCGATTGTGAGATCGATTGTGAGATCGATTGTGAGATCGATAGCGAGATCGATTGTGAGATCGATTGTGGGATCGAATGCGAGATCGATTGTGAGATCGATAGCGAGATCGATTGAGTGAGACGTTGGTTCCCCCTCCCCCATCACCTCCTTATCACCCGCAGGGTGGTCGTATAGGTATATGTAGTATTGATCATTTTAGTAGCAACAACTTGTGTTGTTATGACTAGTCGTGCTCATAAGTGTTGCTGCCCCGTTTCACCCGCACATGTTTTCTAAGTGTCAGTATTAGTCGTCGCCTGCGTGCTCATATAATGTGTCTGTGTATACGCAATTCTCCCTAGTAGTATAAATCATACTACTACGATTACGATCAGCACGATTGTTATGATTCG